AGCAGCATCTTGGTGTCCTTCGTTGTTTGCTTATTAATAACATGAACCACACTTTCGTTGTCAGTAAAAAATAGGACCCTCCTGTTTCTCAGTTCATTAGACATCTGCTGAGAGCTACGACAACCGGAATAAATTAAAGAAAACAAATATTATATGCCTTCCATGGTTCTGGCCATGCACCATAAGCCTAATGCTTCCCAAAAACAATTCCATACCCTTTAGACTGCGCAGAATCCGTGAAAAATTGCAAGTTATGAGAGGTTGACCAGGCTTCTTCTAAGAAAAAATACTTTCCGTTAAAGGATTCTAAAAAGTTTCCCAAATTCTTAAATCCTTTTTTGTTTCCAAAGTTAATCGAATTCTGTGGTGCGCAAGCTTGATACCTATGGTGAGATTTATAAGGCGCCTGCTCGTCGTCGTCTTGATTTGATGAGAAGAACGCGAATTTCAAGATAGCAGCTTTTATGTGTGCCTTACATTTATTTAAAAAACTCCCAGTGAGTCTGGAGTTAAAATGAACTCTCCATAGATATGATGATAGACTTTCTGATATGAAAAGTTTTTTTTCCAAATGGCTTGGGTCGGCAAAATTGCACGGGGAGGAGCGCGGGCTCCGGTTTCGGAACAGGGGCTAGTAATCGAGCCTATGGAAACGCCTTATGACGCACATCAAGATACTAATGTAAGGTTCAAACTTGCGTGACTTCTCACGCAAGTGCGTTACTCTTGATTTAAAATTTAACCCTTGATCTTCATGTGACTCGTTTGATTACATTTTTAAGTTCTCGTTTTTCAGTATATAATATTTGTTACTGCTTGTTCAAAGGAGGATTAGTCAGGTATCCCACAATTCCACGCTTCGAACTATATTATCAATTCGCTCTAGTCACGTAATCACTCAGTCGAGATGGAGGTAGTTGAGATCAACAGCGAAGTGCTCTCGCGTTCGCCACTAATTTATTTCAACTGCTTGGATTTGGATAGTCAGACTTACATCAAACTTTCCAATTTGGCTTGTTGTCCGAGACTTCCAGCTTCTCAATGTGATATTCTTTCAATTTACCCAAACAGCTAGAGGATGAAAGCGAAGATCGAAGACGTTCAGTGCTTATAACTTCGACTTCGATTGCGTCGAAAATCGGTCTCTTGCCGCTTCGGATATTTGACCTTATGACGA